TGTTTATTTTCATTAAAAGTTCACCGCATGAACAGTTTTCATTGCTGTTGAGCGAAAATTTGATTATTGTTTCAGATTCAAAACAGACTGAACCTTTGTGCGGTCAGCAGCAAATTCTGACACTATTTTCATATGTCGTTCTCTTTCATCCACTTGCTGCTTTCGTTGGTGTTCCATCCATGCAATCAATGCCAAATTATCGAAGCTATAATCAGACGAACTGTTACAGTCTACTAAACTCCTAGGTAACAGTAATTTAACTGGTAATTCAGGATGGAGGGCTAAACCGGGATAGGATCAGTTTGATCTGAAGAGGAGGTATTCCTTCCGTTGCATTGCGATTGATTCAGCGTTTAAATTCGACTTTCGACTTAACTAAAGTCGAAACTATACAGCTCCCGATTGGCTACGATTGACAGTTCGGTTTTTTGCTCTGTTGATAATTTCTTTTAAAACTGAACAGCTATTTATTTATTTGAGGTGAGTGAAGCATTAGCGAGAGCAACGTACGAGTTAACTGCCTCCAGATATTCTTCCCGATGAGTTTCGACCATCTTCAAACGCTCACTCAATAATTGAGCAATCAGATCAAGTGCTGTATCGGCAACGTTTCCTGTGCCACGCTGAACTTCAAGCAACTGTTTTGTGCTGTCGATTGATTCAGTGTTCATGTTCGGAACCTTGAAATACTCCAAGCTATTCTCCTTAGCGCAACCGTCAAAAACAGTTCAGAACACAAAAATCTGATTGGCTTATACAAAAGATTAATCATGCTTTAAAATTACGAACTTATTCGTTTATACCAAGCAATCAATTCCAGTAGGCCTTTCATTCCCATTTTAGAACTGTTATTTTGGGAAAATAGCGAAAATTCGATTTTACCTTTTCTGGTGAAATTTGATCCACTGGCGATTTCTCCTGAGTTGGAGCAGTTTCTTGTTGTTTTCGTACATTGCTTTCCTGATTTCCTGCCATCGGTTTCTGAGTATTCCCTGACATTTTNTGTTGATAGCTGAATATTGGATGATTTCTGTTGATTCTCAATAGGGGATTGTTGATTCTTTGAAGGTTCTTGTTGAGTTTCAGTATTTTCACTGCCACTTGAACGACGTATAATTTGCATCGCCAATGACGATGCTAAGACATTCTCGTCCAATTCTTTATCACTCATCTCCAATTGCTTTCTCGTTGCGTCGGAGAGATTCTGCCATTTCAAATCCTTCGGATCCATTTTTTGGGCACATTTTTGATGAAACCTCTTAAAGATACTTCGTTTCGTGATGGTAATCGAACGGTTTGTTCAGGTCAAATCAACGAAGTCTTACATTTGGAAAAGTATTCTCGTTTTCTGTCAATCAAGAATGATCATGATCAGCTCCAAAAATCGTTTCTTCGCCTCTTAAAAAGCAGGAGAGTGCTTGCCTCAGAAAGAACCTTATTCAGAAAAAACACCGAAGAGGTCTACTTCAAAGATAAATGTGTGGATAAAATCGAAAGAAGCAATTTGAAACTGGAAGATTCTTCTCTGTTCTGTTTTCAAAAGGTTAATATATCGAGAGATATTCTGAAAGAGAGAAATAATTGAAAACTACTCACAAGTTGAGCACGAACGACTGGCCGCAAGTCTTGAATAATTTTTTCAAGAGAATCCCGTGACCCAGATAGCATCTGCAAACCGTTTTTATCTTGAGATAATTTTTGATCACTTTCCTACGGCAATAATCAGGAAAACTGACTTCAATCATTTTTTGATTTACTCTGATTCGGAGGCGAAAACGATTCGATGCAAAGGCTTAATATTACCTCAGAATGTACCATGTCATTGTCAGCATTCGATGCAAAGAATGTCATAAGATTGTATGCGTGATCAATGCGTTGTTCTTCTTCGGTGATCCATTGTTTCAATGAGAGTGACTGCATTGCACTGCAAATTTGATTTCGATATGTAAGGCAACTAAGCCCTTTTGAATATCTCTTGAATGAGGTCAAACTTTGGCAGAGATTTTGGACCGACGCAGAATCGAGCTCGCGCCTTCTGAACAGATCGGATCCTCAAAGCCCAGCGTTACACCAGGGGGACATGGCCTAGGCCAGATATCGAGAAGTGTCCTTTCAACTGCTTATACTACTAGGTCCTCCGTTCACTTCTAGCCGCTAAAAACACGGGTTCACGTTCGAAGATGATTCCGAAAAAATCCACAGGTAGCTAGCTACCTGTGATGAAAATTTCGAAAATCTTCGAAAAAAATTTTTTTGAGTTAACACTACCGGAACGAAGATCTTCCCTACTACTATTCAAGGTTTTAATATTAGGCCCCCACCTCGGCTCATTGCTCAATCATTTCTATTTGATTTAAGTACTATTTTCTTTAAGCCCTATCATCATTGCATGCTGGCTTTTCGCGCTAGTCGCGACAATATGACTATCGAGTGGTTTTCAATTCAACACGATGGAAAATATCAGAGGTATATGATTTTAGTTGAAGTTCGAATCTGAACGAACGCATTTCGAAGAGTATCAAATATTGTTGGGAAACCGAAAACATGAAAAGAAATCCAAACAGCGATTCGAATGGTTTCTGCACACCGAAATTAAGTCTGGGAGCAACACAAGAGATTAATTTCTCGATATGCTAATACACCCAAACTTTTTTCCAGTCGAATCCAACCAAAAACACTGCAGAACTTGAGTAGTTACTGGATGACCTGGATAGGTAATCCAGTAACCACACCGAAATTAACATTGGTGGTGAAACTTTCAGTAGGCACTAAAGAATCAAAAATGTGTCTCAAATGGAACACCCATTGGAAGAAGACAAAAATTCGACCAAATAGCACAACATATATAAATACCTCAAACTTTTAGTGCCATCTGCCTCTCGACGGTGCTTCTGGTAAAGAATACTCCTCTCCACCAACTGCTTCATTATGAGGTCAATAGCAGCTTCGCATTGCAATTCACTAAGATTGTTTGAACATATCTTTTCTTGAGTCTGAAAAAATTCTCCATTCATCAAATCACGACAAAGATCCGCTTAGGATCGAATGAGTGGTTTTGAGATGCATTATCTGAAATGCTAACAACGAATTACTCAAAATATTACTACCGTGAGTAGTGGCTTCCGATCCACTCCCGTTGTTTCCTGAACTGTCACTAAATCGTGCTGATTTATTGGTGATAATCCTTGATCTTCAACAGTTTTCTTTGTGACCTCCGTATATGCTCCCTGATTCTTCGTAGAAGTCGAGAGGTTGTTTGAAGATGTTACATGCCTCAGCTTAGATTGCAATTGTTCTTCTTCGCTCATTTTTTGTCTCCCTCTGGACTGGTGTTGAGTTTGCGCAGATGTTTCTTGACGTTGCACTGGGAATTGCTGGTTATGTGCGGATGTGTTCTGCAACAGTGCACGTACAATTTGCATGGTGAGCGGTGTTGCGAAAACGTTCTCATCGAATTGTTTCTCACTCATTGCAAGCTGTTTGCTGGTTGTGTCCAGAATCGTTTCCCACACCGAATCTCTGCGATCGACCTGCTTAGCGCATTGCTGATGAAATAACTGAAAAAACATGCGTAATTTCATTTGAGTGGTCCATTTAGAATTTAATGTTTGAAGTAATCCACAAACCAACAGTCACTTCCTAATCGAAGTAACATGAAACAATCGAATTTTCAGTTATAAAAAGCCTAAAAATTGCTCATGTTCAAGAAATGTGCATGCTGTAATGAATGACTGCCAAGTGCATCAGTATTTTTGAGATTTCGATAGAAATGCCACTCGCCATATTTGAGCGAAAAGACATTTTGCTTGAAAAGGTTATATAAAAGATTGAACAACATCATTGACTTTGACATACTGTTTGGCAACGGCTGCAACTGCGTAATTGTTCAAGAATATTATTGATAGATGATGCTGGCTCGATGGTAGTCTGCGAAACACTCTGTAAATTCACATGATCTCACATGATCTCATTGTGATCTCATTCAGTAACTTCGGCAAGTTTGGTAAGGAATTATCATTTATGGAACGCCAAATTTTTTAAAGTGAAATGATACGATGAGAATGCTTCCTGGAGAAAATGTACCTCATCGGTGGCTGGATTGGATTCGAGGAAAGTCATCAGAGCTGATTTGTGATCGTTGCGTTGATTCTCTTCGATGATCCATTGTCTCATTGATAGCGATTGCTCTGCACTACAAAATTAATAAATTTGAGACAGTTCTTTATTGCATTCATGATAAGCGATAATACAAAGGAGATAGTGAGAGTTCATTTCGTTTGTGAAGTGAATTCGAGGCATGCAAGTACTTATTCGTACATCAGTCCACTGATGGCGTTCGCCTCTTGACGATGTCTCAGGTAAAGATCTCGTTTCTCTTTCAACTGCTCGACTACAAATTCAGCGACTGTTTTACGATGTTCTTGAGCTGCCTTCCTTGAATCTTCTCTCTCGGTATCCTGAAAATGATATCAAAAAACTCCTCCAACTGCAAATCAATTCAAATGTCATTGCTGTTTGTGTGCTGAAGGGAGACTAATACGGAACTGGGAACAGATGAAAGGACTGTTCGTCATCTTGGGCATGCCACTGCAGGATTAGGAATAAAGTTGACATGAAACAAACGAAAGATTCTAAAAGTGAAACGATTTTGACCAAATCAGCTGGATTGTCTGCATTCGATTGCATTCGCGGTTACAATAAGCATTTCTGTTGAGCATACTGAATTACTAATCAAACGCACTTCAGTACTTATTCTCATGTTTTTCAAAATCCAGATCCACTTTTTATGAAGCTACACTAACAATCGTACTGTTCAAAAAGTGCCATTAGATCCACGCATAAACCATTTATTGCAGTTTATGATATTCTAGAACTAACTATAGATCGTAAATGTTCGTTTCCACAGATTTTCCGTCTTCCACTGGATTTCTCCTGTGTTTCTGCCGATGATTCCTGGCTTTCCACCGTGAATTGCTGGTTTTGTGTGGATGCGGGTGGATCTAACGATAATACCTGATCAATCGGATTACATAGGCTTCCTGGCATCCAGGGCTGTAATTAATATTTCCCCTTATCATTTGTAGTTTTTTATCGTATGCATCCTTATTTTTTTCAAATTTTCTAAAAATTACCCCAGCTTTTCACAAATTTGCATTACAAATCCAGCTGTTCAGAAAATGCCTTTAAAATCATGCGTGAACCATTATTCCTTTCAATGGTACATATTTAGTAATATCACTTTACTTGATAAAAATCATATTGCATTACCAAAAAACAAACTCAAAACTGATTTCTGTGAACATACAGCACATAGCGATATCATTTGACTTTCAGAAGGCGCCTCGATTGAGTGTATCTCAAGAATTGGACTAACGCCATCGTACTGTGATTCTGGGTCACTGTTCAGTCTGCACCATACATCGTATGCTACATTTGGTTTCACATTCACAGGATCATTGAAGAGGTGTAAAGGATCAGCCAAATACTGCAATTAAGATTTTGCAGTTCGAAAATGAATTCGGAACTACCCATCTAGGATCATTCACTGATCAGCACATCGAATTGATTCTCATTTCNCCCCCCCCCCCCCCCGGCATAATTGATCCATCAATTCATACTCTTCATAGATTCCACTTCGTCAGGATCAAGATCTCTTGCAACACAAATGTGAGGCACGCGGAAAGCCGGCATAAACAGATGTGAATTGAGAGAAGAAAGTACATTAGTAGTTCAAAATGACCGTAGAAATGGTTAGGTGGTTGACGAGGTGACGCTAGACACTGACTGTGAGGATCTGATTAGTTCAGAGAGCGTGCGTTTGATTCCGCATCTTCCCAAAATGGCTTGTTTATGAAATTTGAAAATAGAGAGAAAATGAAGACGGTTCAGTGTCGAAAGTGTGATTGAAAATAACCTCGAAATGCGGTGACCATATTCTACAAATCCCACAGTCACCCTCTTGTAACTGTACATCTGGTGAACCGATCGCAGTAGTTTTTACGCAGACACACTCCGTTTGCGGTGACTGAAAGACGTTATTAGCATTGGGTAATATCCACTGGGATCAGTTACTTGAGATGGCATTGCCTAAGATGTTGAGTGTCATCGAAGAAGAATAAAAACGGTAACTCACAATAATGTATTTCACGATAAGAGATAAAAATGACTGAAAACCTTATCATCATTAAATAATATCTAACGGGACTCTTCAAATGAGATAACGTTGTGAATGATAGTGAATGTCAGAGAAGGATGATAAGAAACGACGATTCATAGCAACTTTTTTCACGACGTAAGGTGAAAATTAACTTAAAAGTAAAATTGACGTTTTTCACGATCAAAAGTTTTTCGTTAATGAGAAATTGAGATCGTGATAAATGGGAATTCAAAGAGAATTCGAACATAAACACTTATGTTGTGAAGGTGTTAGGTTAGAAGCTAGAAAAGGAAAGATATATAAACGCACCCTAGTATCCATCCTAGATTTGATCCAAAAAGTTTTGGTTGGCAAAACTGGATCGATGATCTGAATCAAGCATCCTTGACCATATGCAGTATTCTTCTGAAATTGTTCATCCCTTCAGTATCCACTTTATTATTCGATGAACAAAATGCTTCAACCTGTAAACCTTCACACGCCTAAGCTGTCACTTCTAGGCATGGTAAATGAAGAGTATGGCGTCGGAACATGCATTCGGTTCAAAAACAATGTAAACAATCCGGTTATGCGGAGTTACAATGCAGCAGAATTCGTTATGAATTTTTTTGATGCGGAAAACTTTCCCCTAATGTAAACTCATTCTCAAGGAATTCGACTTTTATCAAAATACTGGAGTGATCTTCTTGATGTTGTACAATTCATCAGTGGGATCAAATAAGGCAATTACAAACTCGAAATGCAATCCAATCACCGATCACAACGTTCGAATGTGTTTTATTACGTGATAATCGATGTTTACGATTCCTTCGAAGTACTTTTATCTCTTGGTCATTTATGTTTATCACCCAACCAACCAACCAGCTCTTAGAACTCATGATTTATCGTGTTGTCTGAAAAAAACTCCCACTGTCAGCATTGTCCACATGAGCGTAACGCTGATTAGAAATCATAGTCGGAATGAAATCAGAATAAATGTGTTCCAACGTCATTCACTCTAGATGTTCAACAGCAACAGGAAAGAAAAACGATTGATTTCGGATGCATCGTCCGTTCTGGATAATTTGAGTACTTCCAAAGATACTCGATAAATTCAATTAAATGCTTCTCTCCAAAACGTTTGCTCCATATTTTACACTGGATGCGGTACTGCACGAATGGAAGCAAAAGTATTGAAAAATTTTAAGACAATACGATGAACGGACAATAC